CGTAAAAATATTCATAATTTCGAACAGTGGTTTTGCATGTTCGTTTTTATTTTTAAAATTTATTATTCTTAAGGCATGTTTTTGTTTTCGATAGAGTGTTTCAAGCTTGCTTTTAGATGTACTACACCACGCAATATTCGCGTAATTCAAGTAACTTTGTATAAAACTGAAATAGATTTGTTTTAGATGATGCTTATTAAGTAAATCCCGTGACTGATATAGAACGCCAATACTTTTTGATATTTCGCTGCCAATATAGGTAATATGTTTATTCCAGGTAATATTTTCGTCAATGAGAACACCAAGAAATTTTGTGACTCTTTCGCGACTAACTTCTGTGTTTTCAATAACTAGTTTTAGAAAAATGTTTTTTTTTTTTTTTTTTTTAAAAGGTGGAATAATGGGAACTTTGTTTTATTTGAATTAATAGAAAGTTTATTTGCATTGAACCATAGTGAAATTCTATCTAACTCGTTGTTCATTTGTACGAAGAGTTGAGGTATATCTTTTCCTGAAATAAATAAGTTACTGTCTACACTAGACTGTTACACTAGACTGTGTATCATTTTAGTAACTTGCATTTTAAGTAATAAATAAGGAGAGAAAGGGTTTCAAAAATGGAAAATAAAATTCGGAATTCTCTATGGGCCATACACCCTGCTCAATTTGTATTTTATTAAATTAACTAATTTTATTAAACATATAATATGGTCGATGATAGTTCAAAATGTCGCTTAATTTACAAGTTTATATAGCATTTTAAAGAAAAAGTTTGTATGTTAAAAAAAGCATTACTACCTTTAAAGTTTGGTGACCAAATATTATATTAATTGTGTAGAACTTTTGATATCACGATATCCTTTGGATGCAAGAAAGGAAGACATAGAGTTATTACAAGTAGAAATTGTTTATAGTTACATCGATAAAACTAGTATTTGTTCTTTGGTTTTCTTTGATAATCAAGAAGAAGATTTTAGATTTATTAAGTATAAATTTTAATTTGCCATATTGTTTATTTTTTATGAGAATCATGATAATCGCAATAGGAACTATGATGAACCACATTTAGGAAAAAGTTGTTTATTTAGTATTTTAATAAAAGCTAATACTGATTTATAAAATGTGAAAGTGTGGCATGGATACTTTACAAAAATTTTTTGGACCTGTGGTTTTCTGTCTCGAAGAATGTCGTTAATGGTGCAGCCTCTGCTACTGCTTCTTCTACTGAAGTTAATGACAAACTTTGATTTTATTGTTGCACTATAGTGCAACAATAAAATCAAAGTTTGTTTAATTAAAAAAGTTATATTAAGAACATGTGTTGTTATACTATAGTATAACAACACATGTTCTTAATATAACTTTTTTAATTACACGATTGTGCAAGCAAGTAATAATGATATTTTTATAGTTTAAATCTTATTCAAGCATTAAAAGATTTTGTCTCTATAGTTAGAAATATTATTTTAACTTAGTTATTACTGTTTCTTTGCTAGAAAGAAACAGTAATAACTAAGTTGCTTTATAAAGTGTTATAAAGCACCTGTGCTTTAATTTCTTCATTCTAATATTCAATTTCTTCAAAAAACAATTGCAGAAATTCAATGTTTTGTTATACTAGTTGGGAAGACCAAATGATATGTTTTAGTGTCATTTGTTTAACCAAAGGTTCTATTAGGTTTATTTATTATTTCCAAATCAAAGGCTTTATTACTTGAATTTGACCTGTGGGAAGTTTAGTTGAATTTCACTTAAATGCCTGAATTTCAAAAATGAACTTCAATCTAATAATACTGAAACATTACTAGCAACAAATCTTTTCTATACTAAGACACCTAAAAGGTTGTAAAAGAATAGTAAGTAGGGGTTGCAAAGCAAGATGGTAGATAAAGTCTAAATGGTTTAGTTTAACTTTTAGTCTATAGATAGAAAACAAGTTTTTAATATATTTATTATAAATACTTATGACTTGTGTTTTAAATAAAATTAAAATTTAATAAAAGTATAACTTCAAAAAATATCTAAGGTACTTTTTGTTAAACAACTGTTTTCATAGCCAGACATTTTTGTAAAAACATTATTTAGCATTGTACAATTATTGCAATAAGTTTTTTGACTCTAGATAATTATAAATTTTTTTTTTATAAGTAAAAGTTATTTATAAAATTATATAAAAAAATTTACACAGCAAAATCTTGTATTTAAAAAACTCTAACCTGTATATATTATACATAAAGACAACTACGTATTTTCAAAAAATTAATTTTTTTAGTTTGCAAAATTCATATTTTGAGCTATAGTGACAATTTTATCAATGTTACAAGTCATTTAAAGAATTATTAAAACATTTTTTTATAAAATACACTCAATCTGGTCATTATCCGGTCCCCTCCACCTCCCTAAAAAAATAGAAAAGGGAAGGGGGCATCGTTTGTTTTTTTTGGACTTACCCAAAAAATATCCTGCAAACGCCCTTGATTTATATATGAGGTAATTAGGTAATTAGTAATGTTCTTAAATATAATTAGACATTGTTTTATTAATAATTTAGCTATCTTAATGAAACAACCGATGAGAACTTAATGAGAAAAATAATTATTCTTTGATGTATTGGTAACCAATGAAGAGATTTCAGCAATATTTTTGATTTTAAATGGAAAGGAGAATGGAAAACAATTCGAGATAAGTTATTTTGAATTCGTGCCAGATAAAAGGCTGTTACATGTAACAGCCTTTTATCTGGATTTTAACAGGATGTAAAAAAGACGTCTTTTAAACGTCTTATATACGTTTTGGACGTCTTTTGAACGTCTTTTGAACGTTTTGGATGTCTTTTGAACGTTCAAAAGAAGTTTTTTTTTTGGTACGGTGCCCACTGTGTGCATTTCGCCACATTCTATTGAGCTTGACTATTGTATACAATAGTCAAGCTGAGAGTTGACTATTGTATACAATAGTCTTGACTATTGTTTACAATAGTCAAGCTGAGAGTTGACGATGCCACAAGCAATTATGTTTACGGCTTCTTTGATCAGACATAGACGAATGTGGCGAAATGCACACAGTGGGCACCGGACCAAAAAAAAAACTTCTTTTGAACGTTCAAAAGACATCCAAAACGTTCAAAAGACGTTCAAAAGACGTCCAAAACGTATATAAGACGTTTAAAAGACGTCTTTTTTACATCCTGTCCACTGGGGAATGTGATAATTGCAGGGTTTAATAATGTTGCTTATGTGCTTGTCCATAGAGAGCCTTGAATCTAGAGTGACTCTAAGGATTTTTACTGAAATTATTGTAATTAGTGTGGTTCCAGAAAACGCAATACTTGAATCATTTTTATATTTATTTTCTAGATCTAAATAAAATAGTTTCTGTTTTTTTGGATTAAGCAGAATTCCATTTTCTAGAAACCACATTGTTACTGTATTAGCACACTCAGTGATTTTGTTGATGCTATCTTTGCCAGGGCTGAAGCAACTATTTTCAATGAAGCCACTAATGAGATTAAAGTTGTAATTACACTTGTCATAGTGAGTCATTATTTCAAATTCTATGAGAAGTTTTGTTCTTTTTTGAGTTTTAGCTCTACTTTTTTTCCGTTTATATTAAGTATTAAGTAACAGATAGATAGAACAGCCTTCTTCCTTAATAATTTTTTTAAAAAAATAACCCTGTATTTATCTCGCTTTAAACTAAAATTTATTCATTTTGCTTACAATTTTGTATTCGTATCTTTTAATGCTGTTATTTTGCTTGTGTTTTTAAATCCTGCTGTTTTTAACTCCTGTGGTGGGGTATATTTGTTTGTGCTGTTATGCTCCACTGTCCCAATATGCCCCTCTCTAACCTTTTCATCAATAAATGTTATTTCAGAGTTTCGTACAACACAGATATATATTAGAGTATATTACAACATAGATATATATATCACGGTATATATATAGATGATTTATATTATGTACATATATTACTTATTTAAAATATAATCAAGATTATAATTTAGTCAAATAAAAAAAAATCTTATGACACGGTTTAAATAACACAATTAATCATGTTATCGTGTTAAATATGGTTTTTTGATATAATACGGTACCAATAATTAATGCCAAACGAGGGATATATGCACTAAAAATCAAAAGGCAGTCACGTCAATGATGCAGGTGAAACCTTTTTTGATATTTTCTTTAAGATAAAAACGAAAGAATTAAAAAAAATGTCATTAAAATATTTTTTTTAAATGAATAAATTTTATAAAGTTAAAACTAATTTAACTTTAACTAACTTAACTTTGTGATCTTTTTATTCAAAGGTTTTTAGCATTAATATAAAATAGACGAAAGAGATAAATAACAAATAAATCAGCACAGTTTTTACCTTTTATTTTTTAATTTAATTACGATTACAAATGCACTGAGTAGTAACGGTTTACATTTATAGATAACTTACAAAAAAAAAAAAAAAAAAAAAAAAAAAAAAAAAAAAAAAAAAAACACGCGGAAACTACATGCGTAATTACTTGGCGTTAACAAAATAATTACGACAGAGTTTGACGGTGGGCAACGCGTCAATAGAAACAAATTGCTTGACAATATGCTTAGTAAACTTTAGTGAATAAACCACGTTTATTCACTGCATTTAACCGCATTCAAGAATTTTTTATTTTATAAATATTTTTAGTATTAATTTACTTATGCAAAAAAATATTATAAAACGATAAAATTAAAGGGTATTTTTATCTAAAATATTTCATTACTTAGTTTTTAAAACTGTAATGCAAAAAAAAAAATACCTTTTTTAAAAATAGCAAATTCAAAATCAAATTAATAATGCTCCAAAGACAACTTGAAATAAGTAAAAGACATACGCAAATTTAATTATTATTGCATTTCCGAATGCCTCAAATTAGGCAATTAACAAGAGCTAGATAAATTAATGTATTTTTGTTTTTGTTTTGGTGAGTAAACGAACAAATTTAGATTAGAACATAGAGACTGGGTTCTAATGTAAAAATTAGGTAAAATATTACTTCCGCAATTTTTATTCTATAAATTTAAGTGAACGTTTGGCGCAACTCATCAAGAATTAAAAAATGATAACATTTCTTTTACTATTACTAGCCTCACTACTTAAAGATGGAGAGTTTGTAAGTCTTTCTTTTAATAAATTTTTTAATAATTGCTCAATATATCTGCATACTGTAGAAAAATTAGTAATTTTTATATCTATAAAACTTTTCTTATTGTTATCTTAAAACCTTTTTAAACATTTTTTTAAACTTTGAGATATAAGGTTTTTAAATAAATTCACATGTAAAAATAAATAAAATAAAGTTAAACAAAAAAATTAAAGTTCCTAAAACTAATTCCTTATTCGATATAGCAGTACTCCTTTGTTTCTTTTCAGAGGTAATTTTAGGGGATGATTTTACGTGATTTTCCACAGACAATTTTAATGGAAGGGTGGGAAGATACCCTCCCTTTTTTATCCTAAAGAAGATGATTTTCAAGTTTTAATCGGTTTTTTGACAAATTTAGTTATCTAATTGGGTATTTGTCACAATTCAGTCGCTTGATTTTTAGTTTTAAGGACTTTTTTTTTTTTTTTTAATAAGAAACCAGTAGGCATTTTTCGGTCGGATTCACTATCCCTCTCATTTTATTTGTAGAATCGTCACTGGATGTAGCTTTTATATCACTCCTTTGTATGTTCGAATTATTTTTCAGTCATATCTTTTTATACTGTTCACTTTTCATAAGTTGCTGGGTCCATTTTTTTTTTAATAAAGAAAGTATACATTTTAGTTTACCCGTAAAAGTATACTATAAGTATATAGAAAAAACTTTTACGTGAATATACGTTATTTGATAAACTTTTCATCAAACTCTCCGTAGGGAAATTAGCTGAGCTTGTGTATAATATATACAGGGGTGATTCTAGGAATAAAATGCATGTCCTCACATCCCATGTTTTCATACATATGCAGAAGCGGTTCTATGAAAAAAATAAGGGAGGGTTAATCCTAAAAAAGTACTGACTTGTTCCTTAAATAAAAAAGGTCCGCAAAACTAAAACTTACATGACTAAATTGTTTCAAATACTCGACCATCTAATTAAATTTGTCAAAAAACCAACGATTACTTGAAAATCACCTTCGTTGGTGGTGGTGGTGGTGGGAGGGGGAATGTAAGACCCTCCACATACACACACACCCATCCGTAAAACCGCCTCTGTATGTATTCATATATATATATATATATATATATATATATATATATATATATATATATATATATATATATATATATATATATATATATATATATATATATATATATATATATATATATATATATATATATATATATAATATATATATATATATATCAGAACCGTAATAACGCTGTATTTTAAAAGCGTTTAAAAATGAATCTATAGCCGAAAGAATGTTTCTAAAAGTCTTACATCATTTTAAATCATTTATTTTTTAATGTATTAAAATTTTCTTTTAAAAATAGTTAATAGACGAACAAGTGTGATTTTATAGATAATATTTAAGTGTTTGTTTGCAATATTGAATTTTGTTTTGTTTCCAAGGAAAAATAGGCAAAGATATGTAGTTGCATAGCAACAGTCAAAGTTATTTTACTTATGATTGATCATTTTGTGATTTTAATATTACGGAAGAAAAATAGTTTTAAACAATAAAGAATATTGTTTCTTAAAATTAAAAAAAGTGGATAACAAAATAATAGGTATAGTGCTTTATCTTGTTCCGGCTAATTACCATACTGAGGTTACATTACCATACTGAGGCTACATTACCATACTGAGGCTACATTATCATACTGAGGCTATATTACCATATTGAGGCTACGTTACCATACTGAGGCTACATTACCAAGGTGAAGACGAGTTCAGGTCACTAAAGAGCATCATAAACCGCTTTGCAGAGTAGGAGTAAGTGAGTTTAGAAGAATGAAGTATAATTGATTGAAAGTCAGAAGAAGTTGAGTTAGAAAGATAGCATATGGTTTTAGAACTTATGGTTTTTGAGAACAAAATAATAGATCAAAATAGATAAAAATAGAACAAAATAATTCAAATCTTCTAAATATATATAAATGACTAGCAACAACTAATAATTTATTGCTGTCGTTGCTTTGTCTATTTAAACAGTTTATTGCTGTGGTTGTTTTGTCATAAATTTAAATTTAATTCAAAACATTTAAATAGTTGATTGGGTAGGTATTTACGTAACGTATATCAAAATAAAAATAATAAAAAATAAAAATTTTAAAATAATTTCCAAAACTCCAAAACACTCGACAAAAATGGCCGCTGCAAAGAGAAACAAGTTGAGCACCATACTACAAATAACGTGGTGAAAATTGAACTCGGAACTTCTCGCTTAAGGCAAGTGCTGTAAAGTACTAGTTTTAAAGCGCTCGATCTATTGATTTACTAAAAAAAATTATCAAGCGTTAGTTGGGTTGTGGTAACAACCCAACTACCGCTTGATAATTTTTTTGATAATCGCCATACACAGGGTTGCCAGTTTTTTTTCGGGCACAAGCCAAAAATGAAACAAAATTAAACCAGAAATAAACCAGACCAAAAAAAAAGAAAAAATCATAATTTTTTGTTTTAAAAGTTTATAATATATATTTTGAAAAAATTCTTTTTTATCCAAAAATTTCATCCTTGAATATTAAAATTTAATTTGTAAGAGAGTGAGGGAAGAGGAGAAGAATGACTTAGTGAATGTTTAATGGGACGCCCGTCCAGCCTTCAAAGCGGCGTGGGGAAAGTAGTTCACTCCCAAACACCTATCCAAAATCCGACACTATCAACCTATAAAATATATTAATTTTTTTCGCTTGCATATGGATATAGATTTCTTTTCAAACCTTTGCAATAATTGACTCAATTATTTCAAAGTTCTAATAAAAAATCTTTTGCCTTATTAAATATGATTTAATCCAAATAACTGCATTCTAGACTTGTTTTGATATTTTCTTAGTCTGATTTATATGCAGATGAACTGTGAGAAGACTCAACAAAACAGTTAGAAACAGAACACATAAACAGCCATGGCAGTAAGCATCTATATTGCAGAGGTCTAATTCTCTAATGATGCAATGTCAATTAATTTATGATTAATGACGACTTCTGTAATGATTTTCAATTTCTTCACTTTTTGCATCCATAAGATGAAACTGTAGATTTGAAATGGCCTTTTCAACTTGAGAAACAACATTCGTTACAGGCAGTTTTTTCACAAAATAATGTAGTTTTGAATGTAAGAATCTTTTTATATTTTTGGCAATTAAGGGATAAAAACAACATTTTAATTACATTACAAGTAAAAGTTTTTAACGTTTTAAGATTTTACTGTAAGCATTTCTTCCATTTATTTTAAACTTGATTGTTCTTCTATAAAATGAAAAAATGGAAATCTTTCTTTCCCTCAAATTAACTTTTTCCATGAAACAAAAACTTAATTAAATTGATTTATTATTAAATAAACCAGAATTAAACCAGATTTTAAAAAACATATCAGAGAAAACAAAAAAAGACCAAAGACTTTAAAATAAACCAGATTTAAACCAGATTTTCTAAAATAAACCAAAACAAAAGTTCTAAGCCAAACGATAAAAAAAAAACAAAAACAGATTTGAGAAATCTGGCTTAAAAAAACACCAAATGGCAACCCTGGCCATACATCCTGGTAGCGAATAAATACTTAAATTATAAGCAGCCGTGGTGTTGTGTTCATGCCTCTTTCGTTACTAATCTCGCATATGTGACACGTATACAAAACATCAAGCAGCCGTGGCGCAGTGGTTAGAGTTCTGGCTAAGAACCAAGAGGTCAGGGGTTCGACGCCGGCTCCAGCTAGCCGGCTCCAGCTATTAAGGGGTCGTCCATAAAGTACGTACGCTTTTTTTTCGCGAACCCCTCCCCCATCCCGCAATTTTCCGTACGCTTTTTTGAGTACTCTCTACCTCCCTAAAAGTACCTACGCTTTTAAACTACTAACCCAACATTATATGATATTTTTTTAAATTTAGTGTTACCATACTTTTATAATTAACTTAATGCCCCCTTATCTCAGAAACGCCATTTGCAGACCTCATCTTCCTCTCCGAGCGTACGTACTTTATGGACGATCCCTAAGCGACATGTGTAAGTAAGGTTATGAACTTTCAATTAAATGCTCTCCCGCGGTGTTCCGTGATAAGACCGTAAGGACTTCAAGAAGCACCCAAATAACATAAAAAAATAAATAAAAAAATGCAACATTGGTGAGGAAGAAGGCGTGAACTTCCTTGTTAAATGCTATTCCCCGGTGCTCTGTTAAGATTTCTTGGAGTACCTAAATACCTGAAAAAACAACATCAACAACAACAAATAATAATAAAATACGGACAAAAAATGTTGATAAAAAAGCTAAATCTCTTTATGTTATTGTCTCAATAAAATTACAATATAGCAATAAAATAATCCATTTAACTTGAGTAGATTTTTTATTACAATATTGTGATAAATAATATTTTTTTGAGACTTAAAAAACTTTTAATCTTTTTATTGATTATAATACAAATACATTACATTAATCTTAATATTGATTGTATTGACTATACATTAATCTTTGTATTGATTGTATTGATTATATTATCAACTATATTTCTTAATATTTTTAATAACACTAATAACATCAATCTTGGCCCAAGATTCTTGGGTCTTTAAAGAAACAAAAACCGTTTTGTTCAATAATACTATTTTTGATTTTATTGCATTAAAATATCAACTTGCCAAGTTGATTGCCAAGTTACTTAGGGTCTCAAAAGAAACAAAAGTTATTTTGTTCAATAACACTGTTTTATATTTTAGAGCAAAAAAAAAAATGTTTTTTTATAAAATGTTTAAAAAACGATAGTTTTTTTTAATATTATTAAAAAAAAAAAGAAGGTATTTGGTGAACTCATAGTTTTTTTTATAAAGTTTTCTTGCTTTTGAGATTTTTTGTTGACATATTTTTAAATAAAAAATTTATAAAGTCTTTTCAATAATTAAACTGTCAATAACATTTCAATTAATAAATAAAAGTAGTTGTTATACTCTAGGTTTCACCGGAAGCATATTTTGAAATCCTATACAGAAACCTGTATCCATATTTCAACTTAAGTCCAAATCTAGAGGGATTACACTTTGCAATCTTTGTCATTTACATCAAACTGATTGTGTTTAAAGATTCAGCTCATAAAGTCAGGATTACATCTCAATTTTTCTTTAATTTTTCAAGCTTTTTATGGAAAATATTACTTATTAAATAAAGTTTATATTAATAGCAAAAAGTACATAAAACTTAATAGTATGGAAAATAAGGTTTTTGTTTGCTATAAAATGAATTTATTAAAACAATTGCAAATCATTGAGAGAGACAATATCAGTTTGTCCTATTCTTTTTTTGTACTTTTTCTGTTGGATTTTTTCAGATTTTTCATTTCTTTAAATTTATTTGATGTAACATTAGCAAGCATCTTCATTTTCTCCTCTCTTGTTACAAGCATCATGTTTTATCTTTGATCTTCAGATTTACTTGAAGAAATGTAATCTTGAATAGGAAAAATATTTATCTCAGTGCAGTCATTTGTTGCTTGCAAATTTTTCAAACTGTACAAACTTTTTGTAGCTCTCTGAATTATCCCTGCATCCATAATCTCCCTAAATCCATTGATTACCATTTTCTTCAGAAACCAATAATCTGAAAAAGGATCCTTTCTCAACCAACAAGGTTAGGAAGAGTCAGATTACTGTCTAAGTTAAGAACTAGTGGGTGGACTGCATCTGAATATATTCGGCTTAACATCAATGAGCAAACCTTTTGTCATTACTACTTTTGTGATATCATCCAGATCTTTGTTAATGCAAGCACAAATAGTTGTTTATGTAAATAATTTTTGTGAAATTTTAGGCTTTTTTATATGGCATATCAAAGATCTTAATGCTTACTGAGCAAAAAGTTTTTATGAGTTCATAAAATTCTTTTAATGCCTCTGAGTCAAATAGCAGCCACTGGTCCCACCCTGGACCAGTGGCTGCTATTATAATTTTTAGGGACCATGGGACATACATAATGTTCATAAAGAACTTGGCATACTTTTCCTCCTTATCAATTATTTGTGTTTTGTGTGTAACTTTGGTCACCTGAATTATTAATATATGTATTGCATCAGCCATAAATCTTGCCTCATGCATTGCACCGTGTTGCTGGAATTTAAAGTTTGTAATAACTCCACCAAGGAAGAATATACTTAGCTATGACTAACTTACAGTAGTCACCTCTAGCAAAAGTTTCATTATGAAATGCACAAGTCAATTAGGTGAGGACTACTTCAGCTTTTCATAAAAATTGAACTAGAAGCTAGAGCGTTCCAATCAAAGATAAATACATTATCAAGCCAATTTACCTCATCCAAAGAAAACTTCAAAGAAATGCAAAAGGTGGACATCATATTATGATGCCTACAAAGTACCCAAAGGATGTTGGTGTCAATAATATTAGTAATAAGTTTTATTGCTCCAAAGTATTAACCAGTATTGCAACAGGTTTTTTTTGAATCAACTTCAAAAACATGATCTACACATAGTATTAAAGAATGTTAAAATTCTTTTTTGCCTGAATTTTTCCCTGCAAATTTTTAATTATGTGAATACCTAAAAGAATGTCTTCTAAATCTAGAGCATCTAGAGGGGATACACATAATGCCAGTCTTGATTCAATTGTGCTATTTTCTTTAATTGAACTTTTGACACTCGAAGCAGATTTATGTATTTCTTCTCCATCTTGCAGAGCTTTTTTGTAAAAAAAAATTAATAAAAAACTGCTTTTCTGGGGTTCAAATTATAAAACAAATGAACATGAAATGTTTAAATGATGAATGTTACATAAAAACAAAGAAAAAATAACCTTATTGCTGAACCAGTTACCAGTCCTAAACCTTAAACCTTGTTACCAGTTTGTACGAATGAAAATTCTCAAGAATTTTTGATCGTACAGACTGGTACAGATTCAAGAATCTGTAGGAATAAGAATTCTACAAATCTACGACTTTGGTACCTTTTTTTTTAAAAACCTATCCACAATAAATAGCCGTGATTGTAAATTAAAATCAAACTTGTTTAAAATATCATTTTGAAAGTTAATAAGCATGTTACCTTATTTCTTTCAGACTATTCCAAAATTTAATAAAATTTTCTAAAAAACAGTCTTACATTTTTTTTTTAACAATATCTAAATGACTTACAAGAGCTAATACAGTTTTATCACGAAAGACCTTTACATAATTTCTAAAAAGACTTTTTGTCTTGCGCATAGGTTTAGATGTATAACTACATTTAATTTATTTTTTCCTTTTTTTAAAAAATAGTTTTTTACACATAGTTTATAATTTTTTAATTTATAATTTTGTTATAATAATTTACTTGATGAAATAAGTTGCTTATGTGTTAACTTTTGCAGGTTTCAATAGATCAATGCGGTGTGTCAGTAAATTGTTTGAAGTATCCTTCTGATTGTACAAGTTTTGAATCATGTAATGCTGTTGCTTTATATTCTTATAACACTGTTACTGGGCGTTTAGAAGTACAAATTACTTCTACTGGAAAATGGGTAGCTTTTGGTCAAGTCTTGAACACAGCACCTAATAAAATGGTAATTCTGAATTTGTTATATATTGTACTAGTCTTGTTATGTATATAGTCTTATATATTAATTGGTCTAAATTTAAAGTGAAATTATTTTAAGTGTAAAAGTTATAAATATTGTGTTTTTTAGATTTATAGAAACCAGAGTTGTTAACAAGGCCAAAAGTAGCAAGGCTAAGGCTAAGGCCAAGGCCAAGGCCAAAAGTTACAAGGCCAAGGCCAAAAGTTACAAGGCCAAGGAGTTACAAGGCCAAGGTCAAGAGTTTTGATGTCAAGGCCAAGATTAAGAGTTTCTAGGCCAAGATGTAGGCAAAGATTTTTAAGACTTCAATTTTTGAAATACATTTAAAAAAGGCCGATTCTTCACAAAACTGTAAGTAGCAAGTGCTGTGAAAATGAAACCATATTTTGTAAAAATAGACCAAGGCTATGTTCAGAATTCAACAAAATCAATAAAAAATATGTATTTTTTTTCAAGAATCTGCCAAAATTTTCACGATCAAGGCCAAGGCCTAAATTTTTCAACTCTGATAGAAATCAAAACTATTTCTTGAAATGACAAAATTTGTTGGTTAAAGGAAAGTTAAATTGGGTCATTCCATGACAAGTGGGTCAAGGTCCACTTGCTATTAACATGGACCATCTCAGGATTCGATGAAACTTGAAGGGTTGGTTTATATTAATGATAAAAGCAATTCCTAACATATAACAATAGTAAAAATATTTTTGTTTTTAAAGCTCATAGTTTTTAAAACAAAATTTCAGAATCCTTTTAATTATTTTTTTATTATAAACAACTTTAGATTTATTTTACTTAAATGTTGACATGAAATTTTTTTTAATGTCACATTTTATCCATAATAACTACCTAAAAAATTGTTTGCAAATAAAAAAAATTTCAATATAAAAATTTTTGATGGTAAATAAAACACAATTAACATTTTAAAAAGTGAAAAAACATGTTTTTTAAGTTTATATTATTATAAATTTGTTAAGATTATAAGATATAATTCAGTAAGAAATCATGGAGAGTTCTTGCAAACACTTTTTAAGGCTAATATGGAAATGTTATCACAATCTGTGGAAGAGTAAATAAATAATAATTGAATTTAGCATCAAAAGCCGAAGTAATGTTTATATATGAGCTTTTGTTATGGAAAGAAAATGCTCAAGATAGTGTATATTATACAAACAACATAAAAGGGCAAGGCTAAAGTATAATGATGATGATGATGACGATGATGATGACGATGATGATGACGATGACGATGATGATGATGATGATGATGATGATGATGATGATGATGATGATGATGATGATGATGATGTATTAAATTGTCTATGATTAAAGGATGTGTTAAACACCTAAGAGAAGCTGGCAACTATAAACCAAAACAAATTCAAATGTTTACTTCTAATTATTATTTCAATATTGATTGCAACTTTAACAGCTTTAGCTTCTGTTACCAAAAGAAAAAGAAAAACAACTTTTGCAGTCGTGTTAATGTCCTTTATACATAGATTTAATATTATTTCTAAATAGATTATGCCTGCCCAAATCCAAACTCATATTGGTGTATATATTTCACTTAGATGGCTGTTTCACTATGACATAAGCAGTAACATTTAATGTTTAACAAATTTTAATACTTTTAAACTAATTTTTAAATTTTTTTAAATGGTTAATTTTATCATTTTTTTTATGTTGTCACTTGTATCAATAATTATTACATAAAGTACTTTCCTCTGCTATATTTAATGTTAATAATGATAATAATTTTTCTTTAGACAAATTTGTATGGTGCATACTGTATCAAAGGAAATGATCAAGTCCCTAAATTTGGTTTATTTAAATCATCTGATATTGGTTCGGTTAATTACATAAGTACATCCAGTGTAAGTTCTTTTTTCAATTATTTCACTTTGTTAGTTTTGTTAGTTTTGTTAGTTTTTTTTATATATAAATTTTATTATTTTGCATGTTTGAATTTAGAATCTTGGCATATTTTTTTACTAAAATGCAATAATTTTTAACTTAAGTTTGTTTTTTTATAATCAGGTTGCAAGTGTGACATTGGTAGAGAGTACTGTGAACGGAACTTACTTTACTTGCTC